ACCTCCAGGTCTGACAGCTCATCCGCGCAGGCCCGCGTGGTGACATGGGGTATAGGCGCCCTCTGGCCGTGCCGCATGCTCCCCGGGGCGCTGCCCCGGGGGCACGCTGGGCCCACCTGCTCAGAGAATCCGCCGTCGCAGTGCAGCGCTGCCGGCCGGCGCCCCGCCCGAGCCTCCGCCCGGAGACCACGCACCAACCCCGGAGGGGGGGGAGGCAGCCGAGGAGCCGAGGGAGGAACCGAGAGCCGCAGCACCAGAGCAGGCCACGCCCGGATCCTCCCCAGAGCAAGGTCTGCCGGGCACGGCCTCAGAGAGGCGTTCTCTCTCGCGCAGCTCCCGCCTCTCGTCGAATCCATCAACAAGGTCTGGAGGGAGCTCGCCTGGCAGGTCAAGCACCACCTCCGCAGTCCCACCCACCCCCTGCGAGTCCCAGAACGCTTGGTCATGCCTCCAGCTGTGGGGGCGACCCAGCCACTCCGCAGCCTGGGTCACTCTTCTCTCACAGCCTCCAACGAAGAGCTCCTGCTCCTCAGTCCTACGCCACAGGAGGGCCCCCGCACGGGCCCATTTGTCAGCCAGCCGATTGCCCTTTGAGCAACCACAGGTCCGCCAGAGAAGAGGCTTCCTGCAAATCTCGATGGGCCTTCGCTTTCACAACTGTGGCTGCGTCGCCTGCTTCCGGAAAGCGCCGGCCCGGAGTCCCGGTTCGGTTAGGTTCCGAAGCGCCTCCGGTTCGGTGCGGTTCGGTTCGGTGTCGTAATCTTCGGGTTCGGTTCGGTTCGGTTCGGTTCGGTACGTTTATGTGTTTCAGGTTCGGACCGGTTGTTGTTCCGGTTCGGTCCGGTTCCGACCAGATCGCCGTCGAGAAGCGGTTCCAACCCCAGCCGATCCGATTTCGTTGCGCTCTTTTCGATGCCGATGGTTCGGAGGAGGAGGAGGAAGAGGAGGAAGAGGAGGAGGAGGAGAAGAGGAGGAGGAGGAGGAGGAGGAGGAGGAGGGGGGAGGAGGGGGAGGGGGAGGGGGGAGGAGGAGGAGGAGGAGGAGGAGGAGGAGGAGGAGGAGGAGGAGGAGGAGGAGGAGGAGGAGGCTGGCTGGCTGGCAATCTGCATATGGCCTCGATCCCAGTGTCAACAGGTCCGCTTGGCCGCAGGGCGGTCAGGGAGGCTCTATGCACCCCTTCGATGTCAAAAGTATCGGGAGCCCCTTCCCCACACTTAGATGGGGACTCCCTAAGTGTGATGCAGGGTCGAGAGGCCTGCACGCACAGATCAGAACATGAAGATCCTCTCGGATCGCGGAGAGACGCAGCATGAGGAAGAGAGGGGACGGGCAGCCAGGCACTCACGGCAAGTGAGCCGTGGCAAAACTCAAGCAGAACAATTTCTCGCCTTAAACTTGCACAAACTACTATTTCTCGAAACAAGCCCACGCGCACCCCACGCGCATCAAAAAAAGGAGACACAAGCGAAGACGAAATCATTGTTTGCCTTGCCTCGTTGCTTTGCCTCTGCCTTTGCCCCGAGAGCGCCCTTTACCTTGTGGCCTACTAATGGGATCCCACTCGCCTTGAAACCGCACCAGGCCTCGCTCAGAGAAAGATCCGAGAGTGCCAGGAGGACGCAGAAGGGACGAAGGGGAGCTCCCAGGAGGACGGAGAGAGGCGTCAGGGACTTCATCTACCACTTCTTGTGGCGGGCCCCTCGTAGCATTTTCTCGAGCGAGTTCTGTACCCTGCGTTCCTGCGTCGTGCGAGGGGGGGGTCCCATTTTCGGCTGGCTCCCCAAGGCAAGAAAAAGGGCGACGATGACTGCATTCATGGGTGTCATGAGACCCCCTGTCCCTTGGATCCAGGAATTCACAAAAAACGTGTGACGAACCAGCTGTGGGGTTCCGTCTCTCTGAAAGGTCGTTTTGGCCTTCCAATACTTGAGAGTCTCGCATGCTACTGGCAGGGGCTGGGCGGTCACTGCTTGAATCAGGCCTGTCAAGGCCTTCAGGTGGCTCTGGTACTCCTGCTTCACGGTGAGTTCGTCGAGGGTGCACATTGCCTTGAGTACCGCCAGACTGACATGGAGACTCGGGGGCCCTTGATCGTGATCTCCCTTGCCTGCGGTCTTCTCCTGATATTGTTGAGCCGCGGCCACCGCAACTCCGTTCAGCACGTGCTCTTTCGGCAAGAGGTGCGTGGTCAGCAGACA